GGAAGGAAGGAAGGAAGGAAGGAAGGAAGGAAGGAAGGAAGGAAGGAGGGAGGGAGGGAGGGAGGGAGGGAGGGAGGGAGGGAGGGAAGGGAGACTTACATTTAGCAATAATGGTGTCTATAAAGCCCATTGTAAACCGGAACAAAATGAAATTGTGCAGGTGCTCTACCTAGGGCAATAAAAAATGGGAAAGTTATGTTAATATATTTTATACATGGTATTTAAATGATGGATTAAAAATAGATTGTGTCTCAGTCTTTCTTAGGATGTATTTATTTTATTTGGAAACAAAAAAGAAAAATGTTGCATTCTACAGGAAGGAAATACTTATCCAAAAATTGAAAATGTATAAGTAGCAGGCTACTTTTGGCAATCTTTTTTTTTTTTTTAAATGGTACTGTCTTTCATAAGTTCCAATTTTCAGAAAACATATTGCTGATTTTATTGCTATAGTACATTTTAAAAATTGTAATAATTTCAAGATAACCTTTTCATTCACCATTTAATCAAATTTATATATTTTTATATTAGATGTCCATGGATGAGGGAATCATGAGCCTTTTGAAGCAATTACTGTGTATCGTTGAGCGTTCCCAAAAATAAATTTTTTAAAAATGATCAAAACAATCTCAAGATATCTCATGCAAGAATAGTAATCTTATGAAATTTGGTTCATTTTGTGTAATTTAACTGCATATGCCTCTCAGTTGGTATCGTGCAGGCAATAAATAGCACATTGGCTTACAAAGTAGTCTCTAATTAAAGATCTTAGCTTGCATAGAATAGCATGAGCTTGCTTAAGTAAAACAGGACTTTAGTTGATTTGGTGCCAAATCCTGTATGAAAAAGTTTCAGAAGATATAATAATCTCCCATTTAGATGAACAGAAAGTGGATATAAGGAAAAAGAATGAGAAAATTGTTTGGGAAAGAGTGAAATGGTGTATGCTACAAAATACCACAAAAATATGTGGAGTTATGAGAAGTCTGTGAAAAAAATACTTGGTGGAATGTTGATAAAAATGCTACAGGTGAGCAAAAAATCATTCGACAGCAGCATGAGGACCAGAAAAAAAATTGTATATGTGGATGTGTATGCTACACAGAATGTAGTCAAAGACTAAAAAAATAGTTAAGATTAAAAATGGCAAAGAAAATGCAGAACAATTTTGAAATATACATGCACGTATATATGTCTTAAAAAAGAATTACAGAAGCTGTATTCAATATGTGGTTTACTTATGTTGACAACTCCCAAGAATAAAATATGCAAATAGGTAAAGAAGGATCTTGGAATGTCACATCCGTCAAGGAAACCTGTGGCACATTAGAAATTAAACTTGAATTGTGATATGAATTTTCAGAGGCAAAAGTCTGCAACGTGAAATAGGTTTTTGCCTTTTAAACTTCATACATCAAATTTATTAAGCTTTAACAATAAGATTTGTTTTGCATCTCAGACAGGGCTTCAACCTGCTCACAACTAAAAAAGTGAAAATATATTTATAATGCAATATGGGAAACTAAAAAAGTGTATTAATGGTGAGGGGAAAAAAAGACTTTGGTGCTTGTAAACGGTACTTGTAAAAGTCAAATACATTTTTTTTTAAAAAAAAAAGTCCACATCCAGGATCAACAAAGCTCATTTGTTCTGAAGTCACTGGGTCTAAAGGGCATTTTAAATCAGACTTAAGGAAAAATTAAAGATATAAAGGCTGAGAGGGGAAGAAGATAATTAAGCAAGTTTGGCAGTATTTTTGGAGAGTGGATATAATCAAATTGAATCAAATCAAATTGAAGGAGACAAAATCCTTACTACAACTAAAGCATTCAGAGGGCCAATTTATAGAAAAGGCCAATATGCTACAATCAAGTCCCCTCCTTTTTATCTATATCTTTTGGATTTGCTTTCAGAAAAAATAATAGATTCTTTCACCTTGATTGCAACCAATCAAGACAAACAGAGACTTCAACAGATAATTAGAACTGCAGAAAAAAAAAATGCTACCAATCTGCCTTCCGTTGAGGACCGGTATATTGCATGAGCCAGAAAGAGGGCTGTAAAAATATCTACAGACCCCTCACATCCTGGACATAAACAGTTTCAACTTCTACCCTCAACGCGACTTTAGGGCACTGCACGCCAGAATAACTAGACACAAGGACATTTTCCCCCTATGTCATCACTCTGCTAAACAATTAATTCCCACAATTCTGTCAAACTATCTAAAAAGGCAGTATTACCATCATTATTCTCATCTTCCCTATTACCTATCTCCTTAACTTCTTATGAATATAATTTTGTTGCTTGTATCTTACGATTTATATTGTTTACTTAGTATCCTAAATATGATTTATGTTGATTGCTTATTTAATATCCATGACTATCACTAAGTATTGTATCTAATGTTTTATGATGAATGTATTTTACAATGACTATATTAATGATCTATCACTATTGTTGTATGTACATTGAGAGCTTACATACCAAAAACAAATTCCTCATGTGTCACACTTGGCCAATAAAGAATTCTATAATTCTATTGTTTTTCACTTTTCATTAAGTCATTGTCTCATGCAGATATCCCTCTAGCATAGGCACCTTTCGTAATCTTTAACATCACTGTGCCAAATGTTATGGATTATTTATATTACCAAATGGTTTGACACTAACTTACCAGTTTGTGAAAAGCTTTGTGAATTGTCTGTTTTTCCCTTTGATTCCCATTATAAAATGCAATTTCCTCACTGTAGAAAAAAAAAAAAAGGTCTAATCAGCACATATTTGCAAGCAAGATCAAGCTATGCAGCAGGAGAATGAGGTGGGATTGTCCACAGGTGATAAAAATGTGTAATGGCACCTGCCGTTTCAGACAACTGGTTGGAAGTCATAATTTTAAATGCTCCCTCACTCTCTTTCCCTGCTTACTACACGTTTTAATCCTGCCCTGCAACACAGAATCACATTGGCTGTTTCAGCATTTCATGATTTTCAATCTCCCACATGTCTGGACCAGACCCTGAAACTAGTCTTACAACTAGTGAAAGCTTGCTGTAATAACAAAATTAGCAAAATGTTCTTGTTCAAATGACCAAGCAGAATAACTCAGGGTGCATGCATTCTTAAATTCTTAATTACAGCCATACCCTTGATTCTCTAATAGAATTACCAATAACTACTCCCGATTTTCACTGCTTTTGCATTAAAGTTCACATTAAGTTCATATCACATCACTACTAACTTCAACTTTTTTTTAATAAAATGGGTATTTTAAGAAGTTGTTTTTTAAGAAAAGAAGTCAACTATCTTAGGATGCGCTTCCTACAAAAACTGAATTACCCTAAAACAAATTACAACAAATCAAACATATACATCTTACTCATTCAGTTTTCAGATGAAAATTCTTTGTTTTCATGTTATGCCAACCAATATAGACAGGTTTAACATGAAACATTTTGATTTTTTAAAAATAAATAACAACATAAAAGACTTGATTTAGCCATCTCATACCTGTTTGTAATGAGCCGTGAATTGACGTATCTATACTCGCCTTCGTATTTTTGTTCTGTAACCGTCATCTTACCAATAGGTCTTCTTAAGCGTGTAAGGAAAAAGCCTGAAAAAAGCAAGTAGGCCATCATGGAAGAAGGGCCCTGAAAATATCAACGAGTAAAATAAGACACAACTTCCAGAATAAATCTGTTAACAATATTTTCTTTTTCAAAAAGAATGCATCTAGCAATCCATCTGTGCAGAGGCTGGTTACAAGGAAAAGTATCACTTGACTACAGGTTAGAAGTTACTTCCAACTGCAGAAAAATGTAATCAATCTCAAAGTAAGACCTGCCAATTCTGAAATTAAATAACATTTAATTATTTTTATAAATGACAGCAGGTTCCAAATATTTGCTTCTGAGTAAATGCTTATAGGATATCGTATACGTCAAGGGCTGATCTATGATAGAAACCTTTTCTGAAAGATTAACTTATTAATACATCAATTTCTATTACAAAAAATGTGTGCAGGGATGTGGGCATGCATGTCTGTATATGTTTAACTCTGTGTTGACTCCTGTTGACTGCCTGGATAAGGCCTTGCAATTTTTTCTTGCAAGATTTCAGAAGTGGATTGCCATTGCCTATAGATCTCAGAGAGCATGACTGGCTCAAGATCACCCAGCCGCTTTCATGCGCAAAGTGGGACTAGAAATCACACTCTTCAGATTTTTAGTCTGATACCTTAACCACTACAGCAAACTGGCTCTCTACAAGAATGTTAATGTATGTAAAATTCTTAAAAGTCTGAATAACCTATTACATTATCAAGGCATTGTTAAAAGAATACCCCGCATTATATTTGTTTATAGAGGATACAGCACACATTTGACAGATTATAATAAAATGGTTGAAAATTTCTAAATTTCTTATCATTTTAGTTCCAAATACTTCTCAATATTACATTATAGAAACTTCTCAATAATTCATCTCTCCTATTGAATAGTATATAATTCATATTTAAAGTGCATAAATAAAAATACAATTTTACCTGTGCTCCTATTGCACTTGTTAGTTTGAAGATGTATAGAACAATATCCAAAAATGGCTGCAAAATAAGATTTAATGGTAAATATTGGTTATGGGAGAAAGCATGCAGCGTTAATTTTTATTTAAAAGGACACCTTTAAAAAGATGTCGGTTTTTTCAAATAAATATAGCTAAAATGTCTCTTTATAACTTAGTCTCTCAAAGATTATGTGAATGTTCTGATTCACTTTTAAAAAACAAAAAATCTGTATTTAAAAATATTCCTATAATAGAAGTCAGTTTCTAAATAGTTTTTGCTTTCTCTACTGTTTAAGAGTTATTTAAATACAAGAAAAATCTTTAATTCAGCAGTTTTTCAGTTTCATGCTGAGAACGAATATTTAACTTGCTACTATGTAAATAATATTTCAACATGCAGATGACAACATAATTGCTTTTTTTCTTCGCACTTACCTTGCTGAGGTTTGAATATAGGTCCACTACACTGTTACAAAATTTTTCGACGTCTTGTGTAAGCAGCTGATCAGGATTGCCTATTCTGTTATCCAGATTGCCCATTTTGTAGAATGTGTAACTCCTGAAATGTCAGGAAATCACATTATATAATCAAAATATAACACAATAGTTTTACTAAATGATTATCTACATTTATATTTATTTATTAAAATTGTTGTTCTCCCTCCCTGCAAGGCGACTCTGGGCTGTTTATAAGATGAAAAGAAATAAAACTATACATATACTTCTATACATGTGTGGATGGATGGAGGGAGGGAGGGAGGGAGGGAGGGAAAGGGAGAGAGAGAGAGAGAGGGAGAGAGAGAGGGAGAGAGAGAGAGAGAGAGAGAGATTATAATTAAAATTATCATTAAAAGATGGAGAGGAAAAAAATAAGAACTGCAGGGGTGAGGTGGGATCTGTTACGAGTCCATCAACCACCTCCACTGTGACACTGCCCATTGGAATGAGGTAGTCCCTCAGGTAACCTGGATCCATGCCACAAAGGGCTTTAAAGATGATAACCAACACCTTGAATTGCACCGGAAGCAAATTGGTAGCCAGTGTAACTCGTGGTTCAGCAGTGTGACATGGGCAACTCTAGGGTCCCTAAAGCCACACTCTGTATAAGATGTAGTGTCCGAATGCTCTTCAGGGCAGACCCATGTACAGCACATGCAATAGGCCAGATGTGAGATGACAAGGATTTGAATGACTGACTGCAGGGGCTCCTGAACCAGGAAAGGCTACAACTGGCGCACAACCCGAAGTTGTACAAAGGCTGCCCTAGCCTTGACTGCCACCTGCTCATGAATCCAGGAGAAACCCCAAATTGCGAACCAGGTCTGTGTGGGATAATGCCCCCCATCCAAACTAAAGATGTCAAAGTCCCAGATCTTAAAGCTCCACACTCCCAAAGCCATTCAGTCTTATCAGGGTTCAATCAAGGTCTGTTGTCCCTCATCCAGAACTCGAAAGCCTCCCAGGCACCTTGAAAGGGCAGAAATCGCATCACTCGGGTCACCAGGGGTGGAGATGTAGATAACTCAAAGTACCGACGATACCTCAGCCCATGGTGACAAATGATCCTACTTGGTGGCTTCATGTAGAACGAGAGGCAAGAACCCTGCAGCAGGCCACAGACTGTGGCCTGGAACTCTCACTCCCTATCAATACCGATTGGGACCTGATCTTGGATAAAGGAGCCCAACCAGCACAAGACTCCATAGCTGGCCCAAAAGGATATTATGATCGATGGTATCGAAGGTTGCTGAGAGATGAAGGAGAGCAAGGATGACTATACTACCCCCATCCTACTCTTGTCAGAGATCATCCACAAGTGCAACCAGGGCTGTTTCTGTCCCTTAACCAGGCCTAAATCCTGACTGAAAGGGATCCAGATAATCTATTTCATCCAGGATCCTCTGAAGCTGCCAAACAACTATCTTTTCTACCACCTTCCCCTAAGAAGGGAAGAAATGGACAACAAATTATCTAGGCAGTGGGATCTTGCAAAGATCATGCAAGGAGGCAAGGTGAACCGGTGCCTTCTTATACATTAATTTATATATTACAATTTATATTAACTTTAGAGTTTATTTAATTTTAATCTAATTTAATGTTAAAAACTAAACAAAAAATATTACTTACTGTAGGTATTGCTCATAAAGATACTTGGTAAGCCGGACACGGAAACACAATTTAAGTTCATTTAGTCCGTATTTCAAGAAGTTATTCACTAGGGAAATCTATAAGTAAGAACATATCAGTAAGAACACATAATCCAATCTGCTGAAAGCCCACCACCACTTTAGATCCCAACAGATGGCAAACTAAAATCCAATTTAAGAATACAACCCACAAAGAATTCATCTGCAATCCTAGCAATGTTTATTTGGGAAATAAGCCCCAATAAACTGAATGCAATGTAAACCTGCATACGATTGTGTTGTAATCCGTTTTTTAAAAAAACTTCATGAAGAAATATATGCTTAGATACAAAGCACCAAGAGGAAGCTTGAAATGTAGTAGTATTTGCTACTCTGTGAATTGTTTCGCCAGATGGTGAGTTTCTCATGGCACAATATCACAATATACTGGGGATTATATAAATTACAGCATGTCGGTGAACAATCTTTTATCTGTAAGGATCACATATTGGGTACCACCAAAGAAATAGAAAGCAGCAACAGTGGAGTGGGCTTTCTCTTTCATATGTGTGAATCAGGACTTTCTAATTCTTTCTTTGATTTTGAAAACTTTTCATTTCCCCCCCTCATTTCTATGCTAGGATTTGTTCTGTTGGCTTTTCTACACACAAAAAAAGCTTTAACATGCTAATATGTTACTACAGGTCTCAATGATCTACAGCAGGGGTGTCAAACTCAAGGCCCATGGTGCTTAGTTCTGGCATGCAGGTCCACCCTGGAAACAGTGAAGGACTGGCCCGCAGTCCCTCTGCTAGTGAAAACAGAGCTCAGGAGGGCCGCACGTGACTCTTCCAAGCTCCGTTTTCACTGGCAGAGGGTTGCAGGAGGCTGTCCCAGCCAAAAATGGAGCTTGCGAGCCTATTTTTGCTGGCAAGTGCTCGGGCCACCACAGGTGCTTCCCCATGAGTGACGTCAAGTTGACGCCATGCCCCTCCTCACCACGACCCCCTCATTCTGTGGTCAAACATGATTCTGATGCTGCCCTCAATGAAATCAAGTTTGACACCCCATATCTACAGTAAGGCTTTCACCTACCTGAACTGGCCCATTTGATATGTTTTTCCTGGAAGAAGCTTCTGCATATTCTCCACTTTTATAAGTAAGGAGAATGGAGGACATGGGGTCCTACTTCTCTGGCTTTGTGAAATGATCTTCCCTTGGAAATGAGACTGACACCATCCTTCCTCACATTCTGAACTCTTCCCCAGAATGTATAGGGACTGGTAAAAGTGTTCGAATTTCCATTTCATTTAACCGTTGTGTTTCATGTTTATCTTATATTTTGGTTGCGCTATTATTTTCTCTATTATCTGCCTATCCCAAGCCCATGCCAAATCCAGTCTGAGCATCTGGCTGAAAGTGTGACAAACCATAATGATATTTTTTAATGTTTACCACTTTTATTTTAATGATATTTACTGTGGCTGTTTTATTGGCTGTATATTTTACTGCATTGCCACTAAAATTGTTTATACTTCCTATATGATGGGGGCTCATGATGAAAGGGGAAGTCTTTTCCTTTTCTTTATTACATTCTTATTTTTTCAGTTTTTAATATGTTTAATGTTCTGTTCTGCCCCTTTCTTTTCTTTTAGTTTGTATTAATTTTTATTGTAATCACAATTTTTATTAAAATTACTACATAGGAAAAGAGGAACTTGGATTATTTTTCTCATATCATATCCCTTCAACAGAAGGGAAAAGAATTGGCCAAGAACCAGTCTTGAACTCAGAGTTACTTTTGAATTGTATTAAGAGTATCGAACAATTATTTATACCATCAAGTTTAAATTCCTACAAATGGAATTCCTTGCTCTTACTTTGATGTAGAGCCCCAAAAATATTTTTTTTGAAAAATCCTTTCTTGTATAAAACACTTCCCCATCAGTCTGGAAGAGGAGCTGTTCCATTAATGAAGTGAGAAACTACCATTTTGTTAATGATAAGGAGAGAAAAAACACACCAAAATTGTATCTTATGCACTTTGATTCAAAACCAAAATGGAACAAGCAGTTTATCAATTTTTAAGTATGTTTTGCACTATTAAATACTAACTTTCCCTAAGCTTTTATTCTCTGGATATAGACTATTTTATTCCTCCTGTTTCATTGTGGTTGGAGTGACATTAAACAAATCTTTCACATTAAGATCAAGGGTGGGCAACTTGGAGCACTGCAAATAGTTTGGATGATAGTTTCCACATTGTGTCATGTTGTAGACCTAACTTCTGGAAGCCACTACAATATAGTGAGTGCATAATTGAAGTAGGAAAAGAAATAAATACCGCAAACGGCCAAATGTTATTTGAAAAGTTGTGACTGAATACCTATTCAGTTTACCCCAAAGAGGTCAAGAACAAAAAAGCACCACTTACAGCAGGCATGGCAGCGATGAAGTTGAACAAGTACCTCTTGAAATCTTTTCTACTGCGGCCAATGATAGCACTGCAAACCACCATATGCGCAAGATTAGTGTCAGAAGCAAGACCCATCCCACAATGTTTCCACAAGGACAAGTGGAAAGCCGTGAAAATGAACACAAGAAAAGATCAACAAAAGAAGCAGCAAGACTATCTTTACACCAGGGGTGTCAAACTCGTGGCCTGTGGGCTGGATGCATCACATGCTGGCCCTGCCCCCACCTGGTTTAGCAAAGGGGGGGGGAAGTCCCGATACATCACATGACGTCGCTGTGATGCTGCCAGTTTGACACCCCTACTTTACACCATATCAACATTCAGATGTGCTCCCACAACTGTGGACAAAGCGACAACTGAATCAGTGAAAGCCATCACCTTCCTTTCTACCCGTGGTGAAAGCCATCACCTCCTTTCCTACCCTTCACACCAATGGAACTAATTATACAGGCGGTGGTGGGTTTTAAACTTCCACATACTGTTGCCCATCTCCTTGAAGACACCACACTACAAAGAAAGTTATCGCCAAACAAGCGTATTGCTAAATCCCATGCCTCCATAAGGCCTGCTTAACCTACACTTCCATCCTGACGTCACTGAGATATATATTTTCTCCATTTCTGCTGTCCTCAGGACATGGGTTAAGTTAGGTCTTCCACAGGAGAAAGCATGGGCTGCCACTATAAAAGGCAGTTCTGTGCTTTTTGTAAAAAAAAAAAAAACCAACAAAAAAAAATCCCACTCCTACATTACACTGAGCCTCTGTGGCACAGTGATTAGAGTGCAGTACTGCAAGCTACTTCTGCTGACAGCCAGCTGCCTACAATTTGGCAGTTCAAATCCCACCAGGCTCAAGGTTGACTCAGCCTTCCATCCTTACGAGGTGGGTAAAATGAGGACCCAAATTGTTGGGGCAAGAGGCTGACTCTGTAAACTGATTAGAGAGGGCTGTAAAGCATATAAAGCAGTATATGTCTAAGTGCTATTGCTATTATAGCAGCAAATGCAAAAAAAAATTAATAAATAGGATTCAAATTGGATAAAAGCCAATACATATAGAGGAAAAAAAGAATAGGTCAAGGAATAAAAAATTATATTCAGGAAGGTGAAGAATTTGGTAGGAAAAAAAATAATACTAATGGTTTAGAAACATAGCAGGGAGAAATTTGACTACAATCATCCAATGATCAGCAATGTTTCTTAGTGAGCTCATCCTCAACTTCCAGAATTCTCAGCCAGCATGGCCAAAGCTGGGAACTGCACTCCCAGTGACTGGGAATAATTCGATTAAGAGCAATCTAGAACAAGATTCAAGGTGGCATTGGCGGCAATTGAGACTGTTTACTTTTAATCTACTAAGTGGTTGTCTTTGGAGTAGCAGAGAACAACAGTGAAAGTCACCAGCACCATACTGTATAATTTGTAAGAATACAAGTTTTGAGGCAATTAATAAAGCTTTAGAAAGAGTATACAATTTAGCTGATATTATTCAAACTAAATCTCTCTGAAGTCAAAAACCACTGGGGAAAAGAAGCAATTGTTTCATTTATGCATCAGTTATGAGCATAAACATTGTAGATACATGCTAATATTTATGTCTCTTTACCAGTGGAATGGAAACTACAAATTTAAAAAAGAAATCCTTGAATAGCGACAGATTCCTGCTTATGATTGCACTGAAAGAAAAAAAAATGGTCAGAATTTAACAGTTTTATTTCTGACTAGGCAAAGTAATCATAATATGCTTTTATTGTACAAAGAATAATGGATAATTACTACAGGCAGTCCTCAACTTAGCGACCACAAGTGAGCCCAGAATTTATGTTGCTAAGTGCAAAATTTAAGTGAGTTTTGCCCCTGGCTTTTCTTGCCACATTTGTTAAGTAAATCACTGCAGTAGTTAATTTAATAAAACAGTTGTTGGGTGAATCTGGCTTCCCCATTGACTTTGCTTGTCACAAGGTCGCAAAAGGGGATCACATGACTCTGGGACACTGCAACGGTCATAAATATGAACCAGTTGTCAGGTATCCAAATGTAAATCATGTGACCATGGGGATGCTGCAATGGTCACAAGTGTGAAAAATGGTCATAAGTCACTTTTTTCAGTGCCGTTGTAACTTTGAATGGTCAGTAAATGAACTGTTGTAAGTTGAGGACCACCTGTACTACAGAAGTCTAATAAACAACATCCCTCATAGACATCAACATTTGTAAGGTAAAAATAATAGCTATCCATTTACGTTTCATAGAAAACAGGATTACTGCATGAATGTCAACATGGAAAGTGTAAATTTCCTCTCCATAAGATTCTTGATGCTAAGAGCAAAACTCTTGATATCCAAGAGTATTCATGGTTTAGATGACTAGTGCCCACAATATTGCATTGTACATGCAACATGGGAATATGGAATCATGTATTACCTTCCATAAAATAATCTCATACATATATGCGGTTGAGTGACACACTCAAGTATGTTGAAATACCAACTTTTAAAACTCCCAGTCAACAAAACTGATAGTCATGCTACTACGGAATTCTGAGAGAGAAATCCCAACATATCTGGGATTTGGGAGAAAACTATGATTTTTGCACCTCACGAGAGCACCAATTGAGCAAGGCTAACCCTTAAACTATGGTTTTTGCTTTTCTATGAGCCACACTGGTTCTTCTCCAGGGAGCTCCAAGAGAGACTAAAAGGGTAGAGGAGAGCCTCTGGCCTAACATGGCATGTTCACTTAGAAATACATTTTGATTTTGTATTGTACTTGGATGAAGCCTTTATATTTAGTCATTGAAGACAAATATCATTTATCTGTATGAAAACTCTGTTTGTAAAAATAGTAGTACAGTAATCCGTAATCCGTTCCATGACTTTGGTCGCAACCCAATTTGGTCGTGACCGGAAGCGAGACTGACTGTGCACGTGCATACAAAATGAATGGCGTGGAAGGGGAAATTGCCACAGCTGTGTTTGATCGCCACACGAGTATTTGTTCACAACCAGATGCAAAAATTTTGTGAAATTTTTGGTCATCACCCAATTTGGTCATGGTCAGAAGCGTTTGTGACCAGAGGTCTATTGTATTAGCTTCTGATATATGGTAACATGGAAGAATAATGGTAGGAAATTGGTTTGAAATATATAAATGACCCTTACCTCTCGATAACTGTTCCATTATGAATCATCCAGATGTCACAATATGTGCGAAGTACCAACATAATGGCAATAAGTATCAAATAACCTGTCTATTATAAGAAAGTTATAAAAACAATATTTAAAACTGTATTAATTTTAGCAGCTTTACACAGAAAGCATACAGATCTTTTCCAACCATAAAGAATCAGTACAAATTAAACTATAAAATAAAGCTGTTTATAATGTTGATTTAAAAATAAATCTGTTCCAAATATGAAGTACAGATAGTCCTTGACTTACAACCAAAATAAGGACCAGAAGAAAAATCACTGTTAAGCAGTGTGGTCATTAAGTGAGATATGATGGGACTGAATCCTTCACGTTGAATTGGCATTTTAGAGATTGCAGCCAAAATACATCTGAAAGACAAGCTAGTAAGGCTTCAAAACAAAAGTATTAGACTGGTTATTCTCTATTTGCAACTTACCTCTTTACAAAATGTCCTGGGGACCATAATTTTCAGAATTTGCCAAATTCTTCCAACAAATACTTTATCTACTGCAGCTCGCTCTTTCTTGACTTCTTTCTGCATAGATTACAGGAGGAAATGGTCTCATCAAAACAATGGTATCTTAATTATTTCAACATAGCTAAACAATTTAATGTGAATTACTCTCTGAATCCTAGATCTGCCAAATGAAGAAGACGTATGTTTTTGCTTTACAAAAGAAACAGGGCTTGCTATTTTCTTCATTATATTAATGCTGTATCTTTATTTTATCAATGCTTATTCCTGAATGAATCAAATAGGTTGTAAATCTAACCAGCCAGGATAGACCAAAAAAGACTGAACTGGGAGATGAACTTAGTAGTACATGCCTACCTGTCCTTCCACTTCCCACACCAAATTGGTTATTGCAAGCAATTTTTCTGTTATTTCCAGGTGAAAATCAAAAAGGTAAAGCAGCTCTCTTTCTCCTGGATTATATTCAGTAATAAAAAACATGACCTTACGTATTTTAGCAGTGCAAGTGAAAATTGCTTACAATTTGGTAGGATATTTTACAGTGATATAGAATAAATAAGTAAATAGAGTGTTTCAAAGAGGTGTTTTGCAAAGTGTGAATGAAATCTCTCTTTGAAGCGTTAAAGCAGTCGCCTCCTTTGCCAAGCTCATGTGGCTGTTTCAAAGGCTGTTCCACCCTTGTCGATCTGCATGCCAGCACAGCCATCAAATTCAGGCCCAGAAAAACAAACACAGCCCTCTAAGTAGTTACACAAGCTTTGCAGAAAATGCAGCTGCTTTATCTTTCAAAAAGAGGAGATTTACTTACACATGACTTAACTCCTTTGAAAAGTACTTCTTTCAAATGTTTTCCATGTCCCTATTTAGTATTTACTTCTCATTCATCCACACATGTATGACCAGTTCTTAAGAACGGAAATGTACGTAGTATAGATTTAAGGAAAATATTTTAACCTTGATATATGTTGGCCGCAAAGGAAAACTATTATATAACACTTTAAGAAATGTACTTATTAAAACAGCCTACACATAAGCAACATCAATTGAGTTCACTGTAATATAAATATTGCAAAACAGATATCATCTTTAAAAAAACCTGCATTGTTTAAAACATTTTACATTGGCCAATATAAACCATCTACTTATCAGCTTCTTTTTACTAAGACTAGTGGATATAAACTTTTTTTCAAATTTATTCTAGTAGATCAAAGCTGTAGAATTATTAAATCATATAATGTTCTACTGCTTCTACCACACATAATTATTACTCTATTTTTTAATCAATTCCCTGCAAGCTCTATGAGCAAGTGCTGTATTCTATTTTTGTATTATCCAATATCAAAAGAAGTGTGATTTTTTTTTGCCAGATTCTTTTTCTCCTATACAAATTTGTAAAAGGATGTCTGCTTTTATTTTTATTGTTTGTTTTGTATTTATTTTTCTCTAAAGTATGATGAGGTATTGTAATGAATATTTGCTCCTGACTTCATGACAAGTTGCTCTGTGCAGCCACTATATAATTTGATTTTTGTGAGGGTTTATCTATATTATCAAAATAAAAATAAATATGATTATTTCAGTTTCTAAATGAAGCTACATACAATGACTTAGTGCTAGTATGTCATAATCTTTTATTTATTTGCTTGGAAATAAGCCCTACTGCAGTCAGTAAAATTCCACATAGAGGATTGTATAATATATCTCACTTAAATAGATACTCTATTTTCTTACTGTATAAGAGAAAATATAGCTAAAACATTCTTCTAACCTCTTTTTTATTGTATTTAGTACATTTTTACCCACAACATAATTTCATGGAATTTCAGCTACCATCTGATCTAGGTTTGATAGGGTAACTGTAGTAAAACTTACCTCACTGCTGGATAAATTTTTTCCATTTTTCTTTCTGCAAATAATAAATTTATTTTTCTTTTATTGTTTCTTACAAAGTTGTTACAAAATTAACAGAACACATTCTTAAAGTTGTTTCTTTATCAAATAAAATCAAAACACAAAACACACACACACTATCCATTGGATATTTTCAGAGTTAAATTTATATTAGCTAATTTTGCTTTAGTTTCTCCTGATTTGATAATCTTAAATAGGATTGCTGTTCCTGTATAATTTAAACGATAAAGCATCTCTGCCTGAAACCATAACACTAAAAATATTTCCCAATGTTATTTCAGAAAAATAAAAACAAAATTAAATAGTTTCAAGATAACAAAAAAGATGGTAATAGCTAGATATACCTAGCTGATAAAACCAATGCATAAAAATAGCTCCATTTGCATAGAAATTCTCTTTGATTTTCACTGGATGAGGGTATTAGTCTATAACTTATTTTAATAAGATAAAGTCAACATATTTTAATATCATTTATGTGAATTAATGGAGAATCTTTTCCTTCTAAACTAGAATGGAGAACCTGTATCCCTTCAAATACCACCAAGCTAAAATTTTTGGTAGTGTCACCTGAATGGTAATGGTGAGTTCCTAGGACTTGTAATTTAATAATATCTGGGGACTCTATTGTAAAAAGCGAAGTATTTTTTTAAATATCATGGTGCAATCCAAATATTAAGCGAACCACTTCTACAAAATGTGTTATATGTTGCATGCCTATATGAAAAATATAGATATTACAATGATAAAATACACACCAATGTAGAATAATTTTTATGTATCAAATAACTAACAATATTTTACACCTTGTACATATTTAGTTTATTTCACTCACATTTATAGATGATACCATTTTTTAATGGTTATTTATTTATTACAGTTCTAGGTTGCCCATGCTAAATGACTTTGTGAGGCTTCACAATGTTAGAATAACAATACTATTAAAAAATGAACAAAGAAACATAAAACTGTCCAAAGAAATAAGCCCATTTTTCCACAACTGCATTCAGCTTAAAGAGACCATCCTAATTCCAAAGCTGGGGGAACAGCCAAGTTTTTTATTACTTCTAGAACAGGGACTGCCAACCTTTTGAACCTCAGGGACCACCAGGTAAGGAATGAGTGGGTGGGGAGGGTTCCCGTGGGCCATGTGGGTGGCGCAGCCTTGTGTTCCTGCGCAACCTGGATTAATTCCTTTGGGGGGTGCTCTGGGGGTGACATTTTTCTGTGGACCACCAAAATTTTCTTGCAGACCACCAGTGGGCCGCAGCCCACCAGCTGGCGAACACTGTTCTAGAACACAAATATTTAGTAGAAACAAAAACAAAAATACCCCAATATTGTAGTGGAAAAATACTTTAGTGGACAAATGCAAATTAACCAAAACCAGGCATGATATTCCCCTCTGAAAAAAAAATCAGGGCCGGCCAAAAGAGACCCCCCACCGCCCGCCACTCGCGCCGCCCGCCCGCCCACACGGGCTCAGCTCGCGCCGCCCGCCGCTCACGCTGCCCGCCCGCCCACCCGGGCTCAGCTCGCGCCGCCTGCCGCTCGCGCCGCCCGCGCTGCCGCCCGCCCGCCAAAAAATCGGAATTCCGATTTTAATCAGAATAATATCATGTCTGCAAAACTCTATACTAATATATACAAATATTTCTTGTCATAACATCTATCTGCCTGTCTGTCTGTCTGCAATCTATCAAATTTCTAAATCACCTATCACGCTTGTCTTTGCTTTCAATTCTTTGCTGCACCACCTAAAAAGTTATCCGAAACGTCCATACAGCTGATATGGCTTGATATTTAATTTTAACAAACAAGTATAATAGTGAAAAGAATACAATCTGGATTTTAATGGTAAAGATAAGAACCACCAAAGAGATAAGATTATGTTTATGCAATGTTTATGCAATACATTGCATAAAAGGAATCTCTGCTTGTAGAGGAGGCTGATGGGAGTACAAATTAGCATTGTACCCATGGCTTATTTTAGGTTCACTGTACAAGTTGATGTCAGGAAAATATCAGAAGAAGATGATACAAGTACATTTAAAGAAATGTATGCATTTATGGCATGCAAATAACACAAGAAACATCTGTAAAACTAGTGGACTATCAAAAATACGTACAGAATAACAAAATGATGGCTAATGAGGAATTACGTTTCTTGTATATTTCAAGGAAGTTAAGAAATTATTAGCAACACGAACAAAACATGCTTTCATGTTATTTTGATTTTTCACTATTCTTCAGAGGTTATACCTACAAAGAGTTTTTTATTAAGTATAAGGAGTGTCTTGATGTATTTCCAAAACTGTGCAACATCAGACTAGTTGTTTTCCTGACTTCCACATGTTGAGCTCTGGTCAAATATATTAATTTTGCTATAGATATATTTGCTGCTATATTTGATTAGTTCATGTCCAATATATGTTTGAAAGGACAGATAGAATCAAAATAATCCCATTACCTGAATGAAAAGCTAAATTGTAGATAAAAATATGAATTAATTAAACAGGCCTCATAACTTTAACATCATTCAGCAAACACCAAGCTGAAATCCAATACAGGTAAGTTCTCGATTTACTGCCATTCATTTAATGACTATTCAAAACTACAGCGACCCTGAAAAACGTGATTTATGACCCGTTTTCACATGTATGACCTTTGCCGCATCCCTACAGTCATGTGATCAAACTCTGGTTGCTTGGCAACCTGCATATATTTATGGGCGTTGCAACATTCCAGGTCCTAGGATTATCATCTGCAGGGAGCTTTTGACAGGCAAAGTCAAAAGGAAAGCCAAATGCACTTAACGACCACGTGATTCACTTAACAACTTGTACTTTAAATGTTACATTATATTAGCTTTTGATCTTTGTCTTCCTTGCAATGTAGCCAATGATGTGGCTTTTAGTTGCAAATAGGAGGAATTCCTCCATCACACAAGTGCTGGACCTGGCATCTCTGGCTGCATGCGGCCTCAAATTCCTTTGGTCCATCCCCCAGAGCTCCTTCCAAAGTTCTCATATCTATTACATGTATAGGGAATAATCAAATTAATTGTAGTTAATTTAATGTTTAAGCGAAATCAAATTTAGCCTTCCCCAACTATTTATTCTAGCTTCACTTGTTCTTTGCAGTATAACTTTCTGGTAATCTACTTCAAGGCAATAAGCAACTCTTGGCCACAAGTAACTGTTATATATTCTTGCTTTCTCGTTCTTCAGTCCAGCTGTAGCTACTTGAGGGTCCACCTCCAAAAAGGGACCTTTATGGTGCTTCCCAAACGTAGAATTCCAAAATAATGCTTCTTTTTTTGAAGCTGGTTACTGGTCTTACACGCAATAAACTCACAGATGCTCACTCACCCTTTCAATTGTTATTTTCTTTCTTTTAAATACAAACATGAAATGTTAGCACAGATATGTGTGGGACAGAAACTATAGGTAGTCCTTGTCTTACAGCTGTTTATTTAGTGACCGTTCAGAGTTACAACATCACTGAAAAAAGGGACTTATGACCTTTTTTCACACTTACACCCTTTGCAGCATCCCCCATGGTCACATGATTAAAATTTAAATGCTTAGCAGCTGGTTCATCTTTATGCTGGCTGCAGTGTCCTGGTAACCTTTGATCCCCTTCTGCGTCCTTCTGACAAATAAAGTCAATGGGGAAGCCAGATTCACTTAACAACCATGTTACTAACTTAAAAACTGTAATGATTCACTTAACAACTATGGTAAAAAAACGTAAAAGGGGACAAAATTCACTTAACAACTGTCTCACTCAGCAACAGAAATTTTGGGCTCAATTGTGGTCGAAAGTAGTTCAGATATTGAGCCTATGTATTGCCTAATCTGCTTATGCTACATTTGGCACAATTCATCCCTTTAAATCTAGGTATTGACTAAATGATGAATTTTAGAATCAGACAAGTAAATTATTGCCAAGTGAGTATCAAGCAATTCTATTGTTATTCAAACCATCACTAAAACAGACATAGCAAGAAAATAAAAACACTAATCTAGTTGCTATTATACCCGTCACTTTGTTTAAAAACTAACAACTATATTGTATGACCTTGGACACATCCTAAGAAAGGCAATATTTCATCCAAGAGTTTAATAATAGAACCTTCCGCCTGGCTGTTGGGTCAGAATAAATAATTCAACTTTCTATAAGAAGATATTCCTAAATGACACCATAAATAGCGACAGCACTGGAAGACAGGACAGCCAGAGCTAAGAAAGACATCTAAGTTCTCACACCAGTTCTCATTATTATCTGTGATGAAGAAATAGCTTTTAAGATAACTCTTCAGATGGCAATCTGAAGGCTACATTTTTCTCACAGCCCCTTTCAGAAGTTTGATTTCATAAGAAGCTAAGATTTAAAATATCCTGTCAGACTACTTTTTTTCTGCTGTCACTGCTCTTCCTCTCCACCCAGCAAGGAATCAGAACATCAAGGATTAATTGATAAATACAAGAAACTCCTTTACCTACTGTACTGTTTCAGATCCTGCTCAAATATCACACAAGATCAGAACAGATCCCTTCTTTGCCAGTGGGGAACTGCATTTGCTTTCACTGTGTTGAAAGGATAGAGCTGCGACAGTAATTTCTCACACTGATAAGAAACCTAGCAAACAGTTACAAAAAGAATCAACAGATGCAGTCATGCTTTCAAAAAGACAACCCTCCTTTTCCTTTTTGAGGGAAAAGAGGATGGGAAAGTAGACCAGGATTTTGCCACTATATATAATTTTCTTATTGCAACGTTGAGAACTTACTTGTGCTAAAGCTTTTTACCTTTTTTCTAATAACTATTGCTTTAAAAAAAGAAGCTCCAAAACACCTCTGCTTTGCTCTGTTTTCAATCCACATTGCTTCAAGGGAAGCCTGACAACCACTCATAATCCTAGACATGAACAAATGACATTTTGCACATATATCTATACTAACCAAATTCATTTCTGGCTTTAATAGGAATTAAAATACCAAAGAATCAAAAGTAACACATTGACTTGCTGGGAAGGACATGTTCTGTGTTACAATAGTCAGACTAAATGTTGTTTCCTTTCTATTATCATAAATAAATTATCTTTTTTGTTTTTACTATTTTATTCATCTGCATGCTTTTATACAACAGTAGCAAAGCTACTGTAGCAAACCAGTACAGCTCTATGTGTTCTGCATTACTCATTTGAAAGAAACTACCAAAAGAATAAAAGATGAATGATTCCAGATTTTGGATGACTTAAGAGAGCATTTATGTTTCGCTTCAATCAATTTCCTTGCAACAGAAAATTATTTCCCCTTGACTGAATTTTACCACAGGTACCTTTCCTTGGTGGCAATGTGTAAGAATCCCTCAAAAACTAGCATTGAATAATTCAACCTGACACGCTCTAATATGTAATGAGGGAACTATGATCTTCTAAAACTAGTTAGCTAGGTAAATAACAGGAACTTAATTCAGTAACATCTGAAAAAATGAAATTTCTATACTCTTATTCTAAATACTATTATCCTGGGTATAGTTTTCCCTAAATTTTCATTTAGCTTCCTACTACCTTTGGAAAGCATATATTATGGCACAACTATTTCTTTAGTTGAATAATCAAGTATGATTCATTTAAGTAGAACAAGTAAAATAATTGCAAAATAATCTACCTCCTACAAAATCCAATAATTATGGTTGCCAAATGCTGTTTTATATTATTTGAGTGTAAAGCCACCTATATTACTTGGGATAATGTCAAAGCTATTGCTGCTGCACTGTGCAATTCCTATTTGGATAAAAGTATTTATATATAGTTTACCAAATTGAAACATTTATATCAAAACATTTCTAAATGTGTTCACAAATCCATTCATCCATAGAAAATTCTACTTATTTATGAAGAAAACTAATAATTTCACAAATGTAATTTTGATTAGAATTGCTCGTATTTCAAGCGTTATTCCATTTACGATGAGATCATATCAGTATTCCATTTATTTATGAAGAAAACTAATAATTTCACAAATGTAATTGTGATTATAATTGCTTATATGTATTTCAAGCATTATTCCATTTACGATGAGATCATATCAGTCCATTGTGGTGCCTTTTATTTATCACAATGCTGAAACAAAACAAATAAAACAGTAATGATACTCCCACTAGAATTCTAACAATCCTGTTCTTTATCACGTACCTATCTGATATAATTTCATGTATTCATACATACATTCATCTTGTTGCTTACTTTGCTAGGTTAATTTACTAGGATAATAGTATACATACATTCATCTTGTTGCTTACTTTACTAGGATAATTTTGAACACTACGGATGATAGATTCATTTTAACCAAATAAAGTTCACTAACTAAATCATTTAACATGAATGGTCATTAACCACCCAAAGGTCATTTAATTTAAAAGGGATTTCCACCAATTATATTTATTTGAATATTCACTCTAATAAAGTTCACCAGAGAAGATTTGAGAGGCTGAAGAGACAGTATTGGAAAAGTGTTTATTGTGTGACTGGAGAATCACTGGATGTCATAGTATGTCTATAAAAGTAATAAGTGGCAGATGTTGATAGGGGGATTTTGCACAAAGCTGTCTTGTGCACCTATTATGCCCTTTCCTGAATGCTCACCTCCCAGTTTCTTTCTGGGTCCAATTAAGTTGCTGATTATCACCTTTAAAATCTTACCTGGCCTGGGGCCATAGTCACCTGCAGTACTGCCTCTCCCTGACTGTATTTACTCATTCCACCAAAGCAGATAGCGTGGGCACAGTCCCAACCCCTTCCCTTAAACACCAAGGGTGTCAAACTACATTTCAGAGTGCGGCCAGCTTGATGTCACTTGTGTTGGGGGCGCCTGTGGTGGCCTGAGTGATCTGCCAGTGAAAATGGGCTCTTGAGCTCCATTTTCTTCCAGCAAAAACAGAGCTTGGGAGGGCCGTATGCCTGTTTTCATTGGCAGAGGCACAGTGGGCCGGTCCTTCGCTGTTTCCAGGGTGGCCTTGAGGGCCAGATCTAAGCACCCTGCTGGCCTGATCCAGCCCCCAGGCCTTAAGTTTGACACCTGCCTTAAACATTACTATCTTATAGGTCCTAGCAAGTATGCTTTCTCCATTGTCTGGTATCCAACAGGCCCCCATCCTTTTAACCCTCAGGAAGATGGTAAGACCTGGCATTTCCCTCTAGTGTTGAGATAGGGTGAGGTTAGAGTGGGAAGAGAATGTTGGATGAATCATCCAACACACGTTGAAAGTGTACTCATTGCGCCTGATGTTTTTTTGTTGCATATATTGGTTTATTTTTTTCAGTTGTAAGACACCCAGAGTTTGGCTTAAAAATGGACAGCTCTATAAATGTTCTAAATAAAGGCTCTCCAACCTTGGCCACTTTAAGACTTGTGGACTTCAACTCCCAGAATTTCTCAGCCATCTTTGCAACTTTAAGACTTGTGGACTTCAACTCCCAGAATTCTGGGAGTTGAAGCCCACAAATCTTAAAGTGGCCAAGGTTGGAGACCCCTGTTCTAAATAACTAACTAAAATAGGTTGCATTTCAATAAAGGCAACATGCATTAGTATGTATATAGGTATGAGCTACTTGTCAGGTAATTTATAAAATACACAAAACTTGTTGCCAAATCCAAGGAGTATGAGAGATCATTTAAAAATTAAATAGAATTTCAAGAAAACAAATGCACAATCAAGGTCTGAAAATAAGATAGCTGTTGGATTTGTCAATTGGATGAAATGTTTTCCTTTCTGGCAGCATATAATGTGTGTGTGTGTGTGTTCAACTCATGTGAAAACTTGATTTGCTTGTATGAAGACAAACAAACAAATTGTCTGATTATTTTAATTCTGGCAATACCAGCCTACAAATGTTTAAAATTGTTGTTTGAGTGCTAAGTTAAAAAACACACACCATAAAATAGTACCCAAACTATTATTTTAACCTCAGTTATCACAGCTACAAACTTGAAAGCTATACAGTAGTATGTAAAAAAACTTAGGCCATCATTTGATTTGATTTGATGCAAAGTTTTAATGGTCATCCATAATTATTTTTCAATCTTGAATACCACATCTCAAATATTGCTTCTTTGTCGATTTCCCTTTGAGTGGTCTCACTGATGCAAAAGAATAATTTTATGTCTGTCAAATTCTGTGAACTTTGGCATTTTCACTGGAATGATGTGATTGAATGTTGGTCTTATTAGCAAGCTTCCGATGAATTACATTCATACAGCATGTGTCTTGCACAAACCTAATATAAGACCTTTTTGCACAGCTGTCATTTTGGCATGAAATAGAAGGACACATACAGGTGACCTACTTGCCAGTACTTAGGGCTCCATCCCTTTTAGGTTTATAGGAGCCAGGTGTCTGCTGTTGCTCAAGTGTAAGGAGAGGTCACACTAAATACTTGCCCCTTTAACCTATGGGAGCTGTTTCTTCTGCTTTTTTCTTGCTTTTGAATACTGTATTTTCTGATTACTTTCTAATAAGGAGAGTGAGATATAATTATAAATGGTCATTATATAACTGCTATAACAAATCTACTGGTGGCCTAAGACTTTCACAGTACTGTATATACCAGTAATAATAGGTTTACCCACATTGCAGTGTTTCAACAGGGAATCTCACAAGCTGAACAATAACACTATTTGTTAACTACCCTTCAGAAGATTCAACTTTTACAGCATTTTTTTTCTCCAGAGGTCCATGCATACATCATGTTTCATATAGGACAGTCTGCGGTTGCCCTTTGCAGTTTGTGTCAATTAGATCTTTTGTACAAGAGCCACTGAGTATATTGTGAAGGATAATTATTATGATTGTAAAATTAAAATAATATATGTTTTTAAAGTAGTACAATTTCTTTCTCCTAACAAAAAAGAACAGCTATCTACTATGTTTGTGGAATTAAAAGACAGAGCAAACACCAGTGCCAGTTAGCCAGCAAGTCACTCTTAAGTCCAAGATCGATATCATAGCTTCGATTTATCTTAAAACTTGGTCACGGTTACTGAGAACAAACCCATACAAATCTTGGAACATTGTTAAGTCCTACCTAAATCCTGCACCCACTGTTTATGTTTTCCAATTGACTGGGTTTCAAATATCAGAAAGAAATAATAGGAGACCCTCCAGATAATGGGTTGGATTGCTCTCTCATCACGAAGGGCAGCCCAGGATGGTCTGGGATCCTTTGGTGACCCCACACACAGATCCAAGCATACAGGACTAGATCATGAGTTTGGAAGGGGCAAGAGTTGGGTTGAAGGAAGATTACTACGATCGGACAAATAGCATGCCTCCTCCCCCCACCCACCCACCCACCAGGCCCCGCTGAAAAAAGGCACACCTGCTGAACATCCACCTGTTTCCCCAGGGATCAGCAGCTCAACGGCGCCGCTTTTTATTGACCTCTGTCAATTGCGAAATTCCTTTCAGCCTTCCCTTCCACCTCCCGGGCTGGAACTGACCTTTAGGTAACTGGAGGAAAGGGGAAGATCATCCATCCCAACCCAACCTCGCCCAACCCGGGTGACCTTGTATCTTCGGGGCGACCCTGGACAAGCCAGCCTGTCGCCCGGCTTCGCGATCGCAGCCCCCGACCCCAGCCGGCCGCCCCCCACCCACTCACCCACCCGATCCCCCGTCACTGACCCGTGCAAGGCGGCAGCGGCTGCTTTCCGCCGCTTGCTGAGCAGGCAGAGGAAGGCGCAGGCGGCAGCGGCGGTGCCGGCCATGGTGGAGTAGCGCGCGGTGAGGAACTTGCTGTAGACGGCCATGGCGGCGCACCAAGAACGAAAAGGGCGATCGCACACCCCGAGCGGCGAAGCGGCGACTGGCCGACCGGAGGACAGGCTCGCCGAAAAGAGGGACGTCGGGAAAAAAAGGTGGCGGCTGCCGGCAACAGAGAAGGCTCGGGCCTTGCCCTCTTTCTGGAAACCCCGCCTTGGCTCCTCCTCACCCGGCAGCCGGGCCACAGCCGTTGGCAGGCTCAGCAGAGAGCGCCGAAATCACCCAGGCCGGAGGAAGGAGAGCGAGGGAGTGGGGGAGGGAATTCACTACAATGGAGGCGCTTTCTTGCGGTGTGAGTAAGCTTCGATGGCCACGAGCGTGCGGGGACTGGAAATGAAGGTGGTAATATTGGAATGGAAAACCAAAAAGCAAGGAATCCCCGGCTTCGAAGTCCTCAAAGCACCCCGGAAGAAAGAGATAGCAAGACATGGCTATGGAGATTCTCAGTCAACCAGGTCATGGTTGTCCCAAAGCTGCTGCTTTTTTTTTTTTTTTAAGGCAACTGGACTTTCTGGTTTTTCTTTGAAGACGTTTGGCTTCTCATCTAGCGCTGAAGAAGCTTCTTGGATGAGAAGCGAAACGTTATCAAAGAAAAACCAGAAAGGCCAGTTGCCTCTTGAAAAACGACCTTTGGGACAATGGCATGACACTTCTTGGCAAGGAAGCTCAGCTAAAAGTCAAAGAGCCTCTCTTTCAAGGGCAGGTGTCAAAGTCCAGGTAGTCCTCGAATTACGACCTACAATTGAGCCCAGAATTTGTTTGCTGTCAGAAATTTGTTAAGTGACTTTTGCCCCATTTTACGACTTTTCTTGCTGCTATTTCTTAAGTGAATCACTGCAAGTCATTAAATTAGTAACACGGTTGTTAAGTGAATCTGGCTTCCTCACTGGCTTTGCTTATCAGAAGGTCGCAAAAGGTGAGCCCAGGACCCTTGCAACTGTCATAAATATGAACCAATTGTCAAGCCTTCGAATGCACATCACATGGCCATGGGGATGCTGTCATAAGTGTGAAAAATCATAAGTCACTTTTTTTCAGTGCCATTGTAACTTCAAACAATCACTAAATGAACTGTTGTAAGTCAAGGACTATCTGTACCTCCAGAAGCAGCCAGTGCTGTTCACCTTCTCCGCCTGAAGATTTTTGGGACGACAAGAAGAGATTACTTTTTCAGTAGGTTGTGAAATAAAGTACAGGTAGTTCTTGAATTATGACTACAATTAGCAGCACAATCTCAGTGATTGACTGAAATACTTATTGAGCAAGATATCATGTGATTGTTTTACTCAACAACTCAACAAGGTCATTAAGTAGACAGCTCCACGTGAAGAGCATGGGGTACTGGGGATTGGTGGGTGAGAAGATCCTGGGAGGCCTGGTGCAAGTGGCATATAAGTGTCTTTCCACTCAGGAGCTGAAAAACCTCCCTGCCAAAATCCTAACAGGATTTTCAGCCCATTGAGTGGAGAGAGACACTAGTGCACAACCCGTGCCTGGCCTTCTGCACACTTGTGAAACCCCTTGCACTCTTTATTTTGCTCCACTCAGGGATTAAAAACCCTACTTGAATGTCAACTCCCTCTCTTCTCTGTCGGTTGGCTGAAAGAGTTTGCTGCTGAAAGATTTCAATTGCACTTGTGCTGAATTTTGCACAGGACTTTTTCAGCCAGACTCCAGGGTTGAGACGGAGTTCTCAATGGGAGGCAACAGCTTGCAGCCTTCCCTGCCAGCTTCCCCGTTGACTTTCTGGGCTAGTTGGAAGAAGAAGAAGAAAAGCAAATGGCATTTACTTGATTATGGGGGCTTGGCAACATGCAAACAGGTTACCAAGCACTCAGATTGTGATCACGTGACCGAGGAGGGGAATGTGACATTTTGCAACTGTAGAAAGTGCTTTGCAGGCCATGAAACACTCTGGGAACATCATCAGTTTGAAGTGTCGTTAAGCAATCAGCTGTAAGCTGAAGACTTCCTATATTAAGACAGTTTGGTGTAGTGATTCTTGCCAGTCACTTGCTCAGATCTCACCTCACAGGCTCCTTGTGAAGAAAGTAGGAAGCAGGAGTATTAAATATGTTTGCTGCTTTGACTTGACAAATAGGCAAACAGAAAGACAAATGCACATACACACAAAACTTGTATTCCATTGGGTCATCGTTTCAGGGGTATTTCTTTGACAAAACAGAAACATGACCAAAGATGGGCAAAAAAAAAAAAAAAACCCAGTGGGAGCAGGAATGATTTCTGACTTCCTGCTGGCTTCCCCATTGAGTTTCCATATGGAGCAGGGAGCTGAAGGGAGCATTGGAAATTCCCTTTCCCTCTTTTTCCTAGCAAGCAGATAAATGACTGCTGCTGGATGGGAGACAGAGGGATTGCAAGACTAGCTGGGAAAATATCACAGAATGTTGAAAATAAAGATCACATGACCACAGCAGCCAGTAGCATGGAAGCAGCCATAACTTCCCCAAATTTTGTTTCCTCATAGAGTTGGATTTTGGATACATTCTGTAGAAAGCCCATTTGAGGTACCATGGATCAAAAATTGTTTAATTAATGCCCATTTGAACTTAGTGACTCAAAATTGTTGCCCTGTCACGGGCCATTTCGCCCTTTGTCTGATGTCCTCAATACATTTTTCTTCATCTTTCATTTTGGTGGCCAAGTGAACCCATAATCTGAAACAAAAGTGCCCAGAGTGGCTTCAACAATGAGATGGGTGGCATATAAATTTAATTAATTCATAAAAACTCTCTATCCCCCAAAAAACATGAGTTTTTAATGTACTTATATTAGGCTAGACCTTTTAATATGTAGAACCAAAATTTCAAAAAATTGTCATTAAGCTTTCTTTTTAAAGCTGGATGTTAAACAAAATATGTCAGGGTAGAGGTAGGAAAAAATATGTTAATTTGTAACTGTACAGGTAATCTTCAACTTACGTCCACAATTGAGCCCAGAATTTTTGTTCCTAAGTGAGAAATTTGTTAAGTGAGTTTTGCCCCATTTTATGACTTTTCTTGTCACATTTGTTAAGCGAATCATTGCAGTTGTTAAATTAGTAACACAGCTGTTAAATAAACTTGGTTTCCCCCATTGACTTTGTCAGAACGTCGCCAAAGATGATCACATACTGGGACACTGCAGTTGTCATAAAAATGAACCAGTTGTCAAGCATCCAAATGTAAATCACATGATCATGGGGATGCTACAACAGTCATAAGTGTGAAAAATGGTCATAAGTCACTTTTTTCCAGTGCCATTGTAACTTTGAACGGTCATTAAATGAACTGTTATAAGTCAACTGTTGTACCTGTACTGAGATGGAATTTAAGAAGGACATAAGTAGTAACAGCTTTCAGTTTTATTGAATAGTTTTCTTGAGAGCAATTATAATATGGGAATGATTTGCCTTGTTTTCTTCCATGATGCTTTTTGGCTTCCTAGTTTAGTTTACATTACTTAGAAATTCTGGTGGATTCCAGTCAAAATACTAAATTAGGTTTGACTTCATTTAGGCTTGTGAAATTGGCTTTGGTTGGTCCCACCATCTAGCTCAGGGGTGTCAAACTCACGACGTCACGATATCATGTGACATATCGCGACTTTCCCCCCTTCGCTAAACCAGGGGTAGGTGTGGCCAGCATGTGACATATCCAGCCCATGGGCCATGAGTTTCACACCCCTGATCTAGATGGAAAAATACTTTATATCAATACTTTAAAAGAATATAACATCAAGTTTTGTCATCATCGTCAGCCATTTACCGTGTTTCTCACATAATAAGGCCGGGCCTTATTTTTTTTTGACCCCCGAAAAAACGGCTAGGACGTCTTTTCGGGGGTGACTTAATTCTCCCCCCTTGCATCCTCGGGTGGGTGGGCGGGCGGCGACAGCTTGGATATTCGGGAGACCTTCGGGTTCGGGCCACCGTTGCTTTCCCTTCTCCCTTGCTGCCGCGGCGTTTGGCGCAGCCACGTGCGGCCAGTCAGGGCTCCTCCCTGCAAC